CATACATACATACATACATACATACATACATACATACATACATACATACATACTTACATACTTGAATACTTACATACTTACATACTTACATACTTACATACTTACTTACATACATACATACCTACATACCTACCTACCTACCTACCTACATACATACATACATACATACATACACAGGACAGACAGAAAGACGGACAGACATACATTATACATACGTGAGTTACATGAGGTCTTCTTTAAATTCCGTTTCCCGGATTCGGACGAAAATTACTCTCACCGCGTATTTGCAGGACTGCGCCTTTAGAACTCAATTGTTCCAGCAAATTTTGAACATTAGTGAGGAAAGTTGTGAATGACTGATTTGCATGAAATTCCTGCAAATGTAGCTAGCACACACCTCTTTTAGCTCAACCTGCTGGAACTACCGGAAGCACTCATTATCATACCCTCCATGGGTCTCTTGGTCGATCTAACAACGCAAACTCCATGGCCCACATCGCAGTTGCTGCTACCAGCGCCCTTGCCTTTTCATTCTCCATGTATAGCTCTGTATGAAGTGGACATCCCTTGCGCTTATAAAGTGAGTTTCCGGTTGCCACTTTGTACACCGACCATGGGGGATAGAGCCGTGTTTTGCGCAAGAAACATGCCCTTGGACCTGGAGCATGACTTTATACAACGTTGGGTTTATACCCGGCTGGTTTCCCACAAGGAAACGGCTCGTTATATGCGGCAATGCACTTTTTGACCGTTGGTTCCCTTCAAAGAATGGCCTTAACATGTCACACCATCCACTTGAGAGAAACATGTCTCCCCAATGATTTCGAGGCAGTATTTTTCTGTCGGAGCTTTCTACATGGCAAAGCACTTTATGCAGGGAAACTTGCCCTTTTAGAAAGGAATTTGTGCTGCAGCCGGAGCGTTTATAGAAAACTAGACGGCGGATGGCCCGAGAGCGTACAGAAGCAGAGTCTTCTGTTGTTAGTATGGAAACACAAAACTGGAAGACAATGTAGTAAAGATGTATAATAGGCAGACGAGAAGAGTAGTATCAAGACAATATATCACAAACACAAGACAATAGTTTGCAACGTATCTTTCGTATAGTTTCTTCACACACAGAACTTTTCACAGACAGACGTTTTTGCACACAGAGATTTTTACACACAGACGCTTTTACACAAAGAAGCTTGTACACACAGACGTTTTTACACACAGACGCCTTTACACACAGACGCTTTTACAATCTTTTACTCACACATGCATTTACACACAGACGCGTTTACACAGCAGTTTTTACACCAAGAAACTTGTACACACAGAAGCTTTTACACACAGACATTTTTACACACAGACGCTTTGACACACAGACGCTTTGACACACACACACAGACACTTTTACACACAGAAGTTTTTACACACAGACGCTTTTACACACAGATGCTTTTACACACAGATGCTTGTATACACAGACACTTTTACACACAGACGCGTTTACACACAAACACTTTTACGCGCAGAGACCGGACCCGTGAAATCACAATTTTACCTCCGGTTTTGGCGATCGAACCTCATTTCGTTCGAAAGTGTTCGCTGGACAACTTGCAAATCGCAATTTTACCGCAGTTTTTGGCGAGCGAAAACGTCATTTCGTGCGAAAGAGTTGCAACGGGAACCCGGAAATCGCAATTTTACCACAGTTTTGACCCAATAGATCAGGTTAGGTTATTTTCTGCCTAAGAGGTAATTCCTTACCTTAAGCAAGAATATAACCTTAAAGGCAAAATCTAAATAACCTAAAAACGTTTTTTTTACCTAACAAAAAAAAAGATGTAATTTTTGAAACCTTATTTTTAGCTTAAAAATGTAAGTTTTTCATTGTTTTTTTGGGCAATTTTTAGCTGAGATGAATGTGGGAAAAAACAATGGACCAATGGCATTCCAAACAACTTCGGCTCCAAGTCCATGAAAAACCAAGCAGTCCTATGAGCAAAAGTACTCCTATTCCTACAAGTAATCCTAATCGAGTTTCCACAGCAAGCTGGCCTTTTTTCACTCCACTTCCTATTCCTACAAGTAATCCTAATCCCAACAGTAATCCTATGACCAGAGTTTCCACAGCAAGCTGGCCTTTTTTAACTTCACTTCTTCTGCATTTCACAATGCGTACCATAAGACCAGTGATGCAGCATCTTTGTGCATGCATCCTGTGGCGCAACCCCCTTCACACAGTTGGCACTTAAAAACTTCAAAATTCCCATGTAGGACTCACCACAAAAATTCCACACCACTCTAGGATTGATTTGGTGGCTGAGGAGAGCCAAATGGATCAAGTCATGGGTCTTCAAAGTTGTGTTGAAAAGCTGGGCAGGCTCATCAGAAAAGTGATCGAACAAAAGGCCCTGCACATGGCACATAGTACAGCATGCATCCAAAAACCCTTTGGCAGCTGCAGCTGGCAGTGCCACAGACTCCTTGTGCTCATCAAGCAGATCTTCAATTCTGGAATTCAATTTGGGCACTGTCAAAATCTGGCGATGCACAGTAATGTGATGGTTGTGGTGCTTTGACCACAGGTGGAGAACCACTTTGTGCAAGTGATGGATCTCTGCCCCCTTTCCCCGTGAGCTTAGGTGGTCCAGACTTTCTTTGAAACATGGTCAAGCGGTTGAAATACCTGTACTGATGAACAATTCCCAAGGTCTTGTACAAGCTTTTCATTTCTTCCCACATTGGCAAAAGGTTGTTCACTGGCGTTGATGGCAGTACCACAAAGCAAAGTAGATGGAATACTGATGCATAAAGATATTGATCATTGGCAAGGTATTTGACATGTAGCCAATCCAGCTGCACTGAACAAACAGTGACCCCAATGGCTTGAAAAAGTGGGCATTTGCTTCTCCCAGGCCAATCCAACCATTCTTGGGGTTTCCAGTCCATTCCAGCAATGTGCTGCCAGGGTGAAATTTTTTCCATGTCATAGGTCCACTGCTTTTGCACTTACAAACTGGGCAGCCACCTTCCTTCAAACTCCACCTGGGCAACCCCAATGATGCTGCAAAGAAATCCAAATCTCCTTGCACTGACACCAAGGCAGCTTTCCAGCCACCACACAGGGGCTTTCCAGCCCTCAAGAAATCTTCACTGCCAGAGCTGTACCTTTTGCAAGGGCAAAGCAAAAAACAACCACAAACAGATGCAAACATTTAAGCACCATTGCTTTTGCTGCCATGCACAAACACAGAACAGCACAACCCATGAAACTGCAAGCCAAGTGCTCTTCACCAGTCCAGTCTGCTGTTGGAAAATTTCCTTTGAGGAGGCAATCAAAATTCCATCTCAAGACTTGGAAGAAGGTGTCCAAAGTAGATTCATCGCCATGCACCAGCAACTGCTCAAATACCTGCAGCACAGCAACAAAAGCACAACATGATTTCCAGTGAGGCAAGCAAAGACACAGGAACATTACACAGCAAAGCTGCACAGTAATCCTACACAGTAACCCTAAACAGTAATCCTACACAGTAATCCTACACAGCAATCCTATCTTGCACAGCAACCCTGCACCTCAGAAACTTGCTTGTGACTCAGGCCACCCAAAAGATTTAAGATTGAGCTGTTCCAAAAATGAAAAATGATCTCTGCTTGGTAGAGCCAACTGAAAGTAGAGAAACCCAGCTGTAGCACTGCATCAGCTTTGCCCAAACTTTCCCACATCCAACTGTGGGAACAGCATCCCCATGCAGGTTGAGTGGGGTTGTAGTTGACATCCAATTGGGCTGGTGCAAGAGCCAATGGTTTTCAAAAGCGTGGTGGTCCTTGAACTTTTCCCAAAATGCAAGCAAGCCAGCCTTATCATTTGGAAGGAAAACGCTTTTCCAGAAATCTGGGTAATTCACCCAGACATGGTGAAAGACCAAGTGTGGTAGCATAATTGATTGCAAAACTTTGCCTTTTGGCACCTTCACAGGCATGAACACTTGCAGTGGTTGAGGCAACTGGGACTCAGAAGCTACTAAATTCCACAGATCTCTGTGGCAATTGTTGGCATGTGCCCCTTCAGTGCAGCATTGAAAGCTTGTGCAAAGAGTTTGGGATTTCTGTTGCTCCTGAAGCAAGCATATCCTTTTTTGCTAAGGAAGCTATATGTTGCACAGCTTGAGGTGACAATTGCCCCCATGCCCATTGTTCTTTCAACCAATCAGCCAGCAAGGAGGGCTGGCCACCAAAGGAAACTTCACCTGCAAGACTTTTTCACTTTTGTGATTGCACCCTTTGGTGCAAACCACCTCTTCTTCTTTTTCTGCCCACTGGGTCATGCAAATCTTCATCCATGGTTTCCCACTAAGTGCTCTTAGCAAAATTTAGGGCTTGGTCATATGAAATGAGACACCTGTGAGCATGAGGGCTCTCAATGAAAATGTTATGGCTGTAAAAAATTGCATGCTTCCAGCATTTCACACTTGTTCCGAAATTTCAAACTTTGAGGTTTCAAAGCTGTACAAATCTGATCATCTGCTTGTTTGGTCACTGGACGAACAATTTTTTCTATCTTTGGTATGCCCACAAGCTTGAAGACCAACAGTGCACACAGCTGCAAATTCTTTGGACTTTGTGCAAACAAGTTGAACACGACAATAATCCCATTTGGCAAGCCACACAAACTTCAAAGTGTGTCCCACCAAAAATAATCCTAAAGCCATTCCTTCAAGCAATAATCCTAACAACTTTCTTGTGCTTCACAAAGTAATCCTAGCAGCAGCTCCTTTTTTATACCCTCAAAGCCTAGCACAGCTGTCTTATCCACAGCTCCACAGCCAGTCTGCCACATGCAGGCTTAGCTGCACTTGCATTGCCAAAACTGGGTGGTTTGATGCCATTGTGAACCATGATAGAACAATGCTGAAACTTGCATGTCTTTCCTTGTTTAAAGAATTTGTTGCCAGAATTAAATTCCAAACTTGTGACAAACATTTGGCACCAAGACCATTGCCTTTGTCCTAAAGTCCTCTAGCTTTGCAATCTGCTTTCACTTCTTCCATGCCTTCATGGACTTCTTCTGTTTTGCTTGCAAGCTCCTTTAGAAACTTTTCTACTTTGATTTTCTCATTGCCATCAGAATTTGGGACCTGCTCCCACATCAAGCACTGGTTCAAAAGGCTAGGGTTTTCTGCCAGCAAAGCGACCATTGTCTTCATTTTTTCTGTAAGTTTCTCATCTTGAGCTCCTCGGACTTTGACCACAAGCCTGTTGAAATTTCTTTGCAACCTTTCATTTGCATCCTTTGCATCTCCAATTGGTGATTGCAACACCTTCCAAGCTAACTTGACAACCTTGGGCTCTGGAGCTGGAGCTGGCAAAGCTAATTGCTTGCTGTGCATGCCAGTTGATGAAGATCCTTGAAAGGTTGCACTTTCCAAGGCCAAAGTACTTTTGCCCCTTTTCAAGGCTGGAGATGGTTCATGTTCATCTCCACAGCTTTGCCCAAACTTTGCCCAAAGCCTTGAGCTCATGAAATTGGAAATGCCAGCATATTCATCCACAGACAACTGTGCAGGACCACTCTTCAGCTGCATTTCATCAGTGGTTTGCTTGTTTCGTCCTGCAGACACTTTGGCATGGTGCCAAAATCCTTTGGCCTCATAGATGTCTCCTCTTGAATGTGCTGTTTGCATAGCCAACTCATTGCCTTGGAAAACCTGCCACAGCATAATGCTGTAAGGCACACCCAAAGTTTTTTCAGTAGCAAAGGATGTATCCATGTTCTTTTTCCAGCTCAAGAATTCTGGGTCCTTGTGGCACATGATGTACTCACCTTTGCTGTCCTTGCGAAATAATTTGTTGATGAGAGCTGTTCTATACATAGCATCATCATTGTACATTTTCAAAATGTCATCTGGGACTTGGCCATTTTTCAAGAGTCTTCCAAACTTACTGGCTTTGGCATAGTCCCTCTTGTCATTGGGATCTTCCACTTCTTCATCATTTTCTTTTTCCTCTTCTTCTTCACCCTCACCTTCCTTCTGATCATCTTCTGCCTCAAAATTTAAAGCTTTCCAAGCAGATGTCCTGTCTGTTAACTTCTTTGCTTTTGGCTTTGCCTTCGTTTCTGGTTGTGGTGTTTGCACAAATAGTGGCAAGCTAAGTGTTCCTTGTCAAAGTAATCCTAGCAAAGTAATCCTAGAAGTCAAACATGAGACATCAACTGAAAATGTCTAACATGAAGCAGCTTCACAAAGAAGCAAAACACAACCATGTTTAAAGGTCCTTCTTTTTCTTCATTGGGTTTTGTTCCTGGTTTCTTTTTGGCACCAGCTTTCTTCTTCACAGCCAATGCCTTGGCTTTGGGTTTAGCTTTAGGCTTTGCTTTGCTCTTGAGCAAACTTTTGGCTTTGGCCTTTGCCTTCTGTTTTGGTTTCAATTTTGGTGCTGCCTCTGTAGGCTGTGTTTCTGCCGTGGTGGAATTGTCTGCTGCTTCTGTGTTCAAGTTCCCTGTTGCCTCCTCTGTAGTGTTCAAAGACTCTGTTGTTTCTTGTTCTTCTTTTGTATTGGCCTCTTCTCTGGCTGCTGGCCTTTTCTTTGCCATGGCTGTGGTGCAGCTTGTGTGCTAGATTTTATATTGAAAGGTTTTCGAAAAGCAGCAAAATGCATTGAGCACGCAGGAGGCGCGTAATTTGATTTTGGAAATGGCAGCCACTTGCGTCCACTCGAGTGGCCGCAAGTGGCCGCAAGTGGCCGCCAGCATTCTCTTGTCACCGGCAGCCACTTGCAGCCACTTGCAGCCACTTGCAGCCACTCGAGTGGCCGCAAATGACCGCAAGTGGCCGCCAGCATTCTCTTGTCACCGGCAGCCACTTGCAGCCTCTTGCAGCCACTCGAGTGGCCGCAAGTGGCCGCAAGTGGCCGCCAGCATTCCCTGAGCATCACCTTTTGGTTACAATCAAAAGATTTGATTTTGGGGCCTAAGAAATCAAAATGCCTAATTGAAATTTTTCAGTCAAAAATCAATTTGAAAAACATAGTTTTTGAAAGGCAAAAATCAAAAGAGCAAATCAAAAGGAACCTCTAAAAACAGATCAAGAAAGGTGTTTCCAGATGCAGCTCTGGCAGCAAAATTTCTGAAGGCATGCCTCATATCTCTAGGTGGCTTTGCACCTAAAGTATATATATGTACACACAGCTGGCTAAGTAATCCTGCTGGCTTTTTCCAAAGCCATCTGGCCTTTTCCAAAGCAGTAGGCTGAAATCCTTTTCCAAAGTTTCCAGTCTACACTGTGTCTTTTCCAAAGCAAAGAGCTTTTCCAAACTAATCACCACTTTCCTCCTGCATGGACCTTGTCAAAAAAAAATGCACCAAAATGCGATACTTGGGTGCAACTTTTAAAGACAGGCGTGTGGATGATACTCCCATTGAGACTGAATGGGTCAATCTGGCCACCTGCCCTACAAAATCTTCAGCTTTGAAACACCACTGTGTTCGTGGATTTAAAAACTTAGAATTCCAGACCAGATGGATGAAGCTGTGATGTTTTGGAACTATGTGAAAACTCATCCTGTCCTTTTCCAAAGACCATTGGTTCAGCCAGGCATAGCTTCTCAGGAAATCACCTGCCAGCTTCAAGCCCTTTTGGTACTGTGATGAAGTAAGAAATGTGTCAGCCTCATCCCAGAGCTTCACCAGCTTTTCCAAACTGGTAGCCACCAAGGCCATGTGCTGCTCACATTCTTCCATTGTGTCTTGAAAAAGCCTGTGGATAACAGGAATGAAGGCTGGCAGGAGGTGCCTGGCTTCCCCTCCTTTGCAATCCAATTGGGGGTATTTGGCCCATGGCTTTTGTGTGTCTGTAAACATGCTCATCCTGAGATTGATCAAGCGGTTTTTGCACTCCTGTGTGCTGTATTCAATTTGAATTTCACTGAAGAGAATTGCAAGTCTGCCTGCTGGCTTTTTAGTGGCTCTTTGGCCAGGGCCTTCAATGTAACAGACATAATGGAGAATTGATCCTATAACATGTCCATAGGGTCCTTTGCAGAACAAGATGTGTAGTGGATCTCCACGGACATGTTTGCTTGAGATGTGGCTCAGTTTGAAAAGGGCATGGTCACTCCATGTGTCTGCCAGGCATTCTTCATGGGTGAAGACTTTGAACTTTTGCTTTTCCAAACAAATTTCCTTGTACCCTTTTCCAAAGGTACATGGAGTAAAGTTCTGGGCATCACACTCCCAGCAAGGCCAATGGCTGTTCCAATGTGGTAACCCCAAAGAGTTAGCAAAAAACTCATGGTCTCCAATCACAGACCACAGGACAGCCCTGTATCTTTTGAGATGCAGTGGCTGGCCTGCTAGCTTGTGGAACACTGAACCCTTTTCCAAAGGTTTGTTGTCTGGATCCATGGTTGGGTGCTTGCCAACTGCCAGTGCTTCAAAGGACCATTGAAGATATTTCCAAATGACTTCCCATGTTGTCTTGCTGCCACAGCTTTTAGGAAAGCAGGCAAAGAGCCAATGGCTCAGCAAGGTGCTGGTGCTGCTGAGTAAGCAGCCCCAGGAATAGACCATTAAATTGTCATTGTTGGAAAAATCAACCCCATCGCCATGCAGAAACAGGGGGATAGTAAGATCTTCCCAGTCCTTTTCCAAAGACATAGGGTGATCTTTCAATTTGTCATCATTGGTTTTTTCAACCCCTTGCCAGAAGGCTTTGAGTTTTCCCTGGCCCAAGCTGAATAGCTCATGGAAAACTTGTGGGTAGTTAACACCCAGTTTCCAAAACATCATATGTGGCAAAAACAATGAGGCCTTTTCCAAAGCCTCCTTGGAAGTTTTTGGGTCTTTGCATGGAACTTCCGCTTCATAAGGGTCAGCAATCTGCACATTGGAGCAAAAATGGTTCATGATTTGTCTATGGCAATTTCCAGGCTGGGACCCCCAATTGCCTGTTTGTGCGATTGCCACAAGGTCTTGATGCTGGGCACCATCCTGAATAGCAGAAGCTGCCAAGGACTGAAGTAATGTTGCACTGAGGACTCCTTTTGCCCAAAGGTTCAGCAATTTGTTTGCTAAAGCTGATTCTGCAACAGAACCATCTGCCTTTTCCAAAGCTTTGCTGGCTCTGGCCTTAGGTGCCTTCCCTGATTCATATTCTAGCTGCCAGCCTCTGAGCCTCTTTGTCATGGCTCTGCTGCTGGCCTTTTCCAAAGCCCCTTGCCTTTTCCAAAGCCCCTTGCCTTTTCCAAAGCCCCTTCCTACAAGTTTGAACAGAAGCTGAAAACAGCTGCAGAAACATATACCTGTTGCAAAAGAAGAAGAGTGAGGGTGGAGGCTATTGCTACCTAGGGGGATGGCTATTGCCCACACACACACATATATATATATTTATATATATTTATATATATATTTATATTTAGCTTTTAAATATATATATATATATATATGTGTGTGTGTGTATTTCTTTAGATATACATATAAATATATATATATAGAGATAGATATATATATATAGATATCCCTGACACACATATGTGGGACTGTAAAAAATAAAACAAAAAACACACCCAATATTACAAAAACTACCAGTACAATTTGAAACCTTGCCTTTACAACTTCATTTCCTTCCTTTTGGTGGTGCTGATTTCAAGAAATATGTTATAGTGCATTTTTGCCATTTTACTTTGTCCCTACCCCCCACCCTTCCCCCAAGCTGCAGACAGCTATCTTTTGTCGCCTATGGGTCTATATTGTTCTGTGCAGTGGCTTCTCCCATTTTGGAAGAGCTACTCCTAAGCCAAAGGCTGCCAATTTACCCAAAATTGCCCTTTCCCAAAGGCTGCACATGCCCCAAAGCAAGCACTTTCCCAAATGCTTTCCACCAGCACTTTTCCAAATGCTTTTGCTGCCTGGCATGCAATGATCTTTTCCAAAATCTTACTTGCTGCCCCTAGACCTCTTGCTTCCAGCCAGGGAAGCTTCCTTGTGGGCCAGCTGTTTCAGTTCTTTTGCTTCATCTTTGGCACCCTTCACCAGCTTGGCACTTTCTTCCAAGATGGCCTTCAAAGCAGAGCTTGTGGTTTTCTTTTTGCCACTCAAAGCCATCTTCAGCTGAGACAAAACTTTGGTCAGTTGGCTGGACCAACCTTCAGCTCCAGCCTTACCCTGCCTGCTCAGCTTTGGGCTGGCCTTTTCCAAAGCCAGCTCCAAATCACTTTGTGTGCTGGCCACTGTGTCCCTTGCTTTCCTTGCCTTTTTCAAAGCTTCCTTGAGTTCTTTCTCTTCATCTTCTTCCTCTTCTTCTTCATCCTCATCATCTTTGTCCTTGATGGCCAATTGCTTCTGGCCTTTTCCAAAGCCTGCTCCTTTGTCTTTTCCTTTGCCTTTTCCAAAGCCTTTGCCTTTTCCAAAGCCTTTGCCTTTCCCACCTTCTATGTCCTCCAAACCAAGGGACATGGCATCTTGGTGGTACAGGGTGTTGAACCTGTCCTGCTCCTCATCTCCAGGTTCCATTTCCTGTCCCTGTTGCCATTTGGATCCCCTTGAGACTTCCACCTGGCCATGGAAATCTTGGAGGTCTTTGTACTGGTAGACACCTGGTGTGGCTGGGTCTTGGCGCCACACAACTCTGCCAGAGTTGCAGTGCAGCACCAGCTCATCCCACCCAAACTTGTCAGTGGCCTGCTTCTCTGACATCCAGCTGTCCATTTTGGTGGTTTTTTGCTTGGCCACCACTTCCCTGGAGGCATGGAGGTACTTCCTCCCAGAGGTCTCCATAAGCCACTGGGCAGCCCTCATGCCTTTCTCCTTCTTGCTCATGCCTTCCAGTTCCCCCTTTTCCAAAGGGTTATTTTTCAAATGTGTCTGGTGTCTGGACCAAACCTTTGCATGTTCCTCCTTGGTGAGGCTGTCCTTCAAAGTTTGGGCTTGCTCTTCACTGGTTCCTCCTTGGGTAGCAGCTACTTTGATTTTTTCATCCAGTGACATTTTGCCCAACTTTTCCAAATTGGACCTGTTCAGATCATTTTTGGACTTGGCTTTGGCTGCCTTTTCCAAAGCAGCATTTTTGGAGCCAGTTGCTTTTTTCTTTGCCTTGGCTTTGGTTTTTTTCATTACTGTCTTTGGATTTTTCACACTACTGGGCTTTCCCAAACCCATGTTGCCTTTTTTCATTGCTTTCATGTTTTTCTTAGGTCCCATAGATCCTAAACACAACTTGGCAACTAAGGTTGCTTCAGTTTTTGAGCCAAAATTTCACTGGGATTCAGCAAAGCCAATTTGCATTGAAACCCAAAAAATGGTTGGAATTAAAAACATACAAGAAAAAAACTTGTGAAACCAGAAAAAACTCACTTGAATTCAAAAAAAATCAGACAATATCAAAGAAAAATCAAATCTGATCAAATCTGATCAAATCTGATCAAATCTGATCAAATCTGATCAAATCATCAAATTTGATCAGATTTGATCAGATTTGATCAGATTTGTTTTTTTGATTTTTTTTGAATTCAAGTGATTTTTGTTTGAATTCAAATGAAATTCCAGTGAATTTGTTTTTGGGTTTTACTGATTCCTGGAATTTTGTCAGCAGAAGCCTT